TACCTGTAGTGTTATTTTAGAATGTTTTTTGCTTGATACTCCTTTTTTTCTTTTTACATGTTTTTAGTATACAACAAAAACCAGAAGGGAATTTAACAAACTAATTTGTGTACGCCAGCTCACACATTCCTTGTTGTATTGTGATATTATGCTGTAATTCTTTAAAATGTCAGCACTGGGCTAAACTGAGTGAAGGGCACATGGAACCTCCCCAGACATTTCTTTGTAACTTCCTGTGACTCTATCATGGTTTCATAATTAAAAGGCTTTAAAAAGAGTATGAATAAAGTCTTCCAAACCCTAGAAAACTATAACTTGAAACTTGACTTCTTTCTAAGAGAACAAACGTTTTTAAAATTAGACTTGATAGCAGGAACATTGCAATCTGGAATTGCTTTAGATCATAGAGTGATTTGCTTTGAGTATGACAAAGCGTGGCTCCAGGATTATCCCCCAAGGAAGGGGAGTGAGACCCCTCAGTCAGGTGGCATAAATCTTGGTGCACTAGATTTAACAAAATATCAGTGGGAGATGGCAGACCAGCTCCCAGCAGGGCCCCTTTCACCACGTGCTCCAACACCACCAGCTCTATAGGCAGGTCGTTGCATGCAGCCCTCAAGGTCCTGCTGAGAACAGAGTGTAGAAGAGTGAAGAGGAAACAAACTGGGCTTTAGAAGTTTAGAGGAGACACAGGTAGTTGCTGACCAATTTTCAGAGCAACTAGAACATCTGGGAGACCTGCTCAAGCACAGCAAGAGGAAAAGAAATACATAGCAATGATGCAAACATACTAAAAAATACAGAAAGGAATGCCAAGTAAAAGACAGACCAAAATAACAACATGAAAGACAACCTAACTTAAAGACAGAAGCTGTAGAATAACCAGCAAGTTATAGAAAAACTCAAAGATGAGATTTTAAACACACATGCACATGTACACACTATAATTGGATGAAAATAAAGATGATGCAACAAATTCAGGACCTTAAATGACAAAAACAGTAAGAAACAAAGTATCTCTAGAAATTAAATGATTACCACAGGTAACACACACAATGAGTACAGATAAAAAAGACAATGGTGTCATATAGCTATTAGACAAGAGCTAACAGATATAGAAGAGAGACAAAGAAAGTCCAATATAAGAAAAATTGGTGCCCCTGAGGCAGAGAACCAGGCAGATGAGCTGATGACACCATCAAAGATATAAAACAGAAAGTTTCCTGGAATGAATAAAGTTTGAATCTGCAGATCAAAAGAACATACCTTCTTCCTGGGAAATTTAATAGAAAACAGAAATACCAAGATAAATCCTAATCAAGCAACTTGATTTCAAGATAAAGGAAGGGCACTTTTTGTCTTCACAGAGGACATCAGTCATCACGGCCCCGTGGACCTCTCCATACCTGCATCCCATGTTGAAAACAGTGAAAAATTACAAAAATTCTGAGGGGCAGAAGGCTGACTTGTTGCTATCACTGTCAACCAAGTGACTGTTAGAGCATGAGGTCGGCAGATCTAAATTCCCAAGCGGGAGGAAGTCCTGGAGTATAATTCCCAAGGGTTCTTCGTGTAGGAAATGAAATGTGAGCAACGGAGCCCAGCCAACTAATTTGAATCCAAATAGAGCAAGGGCAGTGGGGAGGAGGAAACCATAAGGAGGCAAAAGTGAAGTCGCCCTCATCTGTCAGGTCATGGAGCTGGTTGTTCCTGCATAAAATGGAAACGTGTACGCATTTGAGAATGCCTTGACTCCAAATCCCCAAGTTTTCTCCATAGTCCCTCTTCCTCTCCTCAGAGAGAGCTTTGGCCAGCATCTCTGTGGCGAGGAAATACCCACGCAACACTCATCAGTTCCTGCAATTTTGCTTCAGCTTTCTTTTCTTCTGTTAAATCTGAGTGAATTAAATGTAATTATTTTTATTTAAAAAGTGATGTGTTGTGTTCCCACTTTTATTGCATTACTCCTATCCAGCTCGTTTACCTGTATGTCTACATACACCTGCATGGAGAGAGTCTCGCACTGTTTCTGTCCATCTTCCCGCCCTCTGATACACGCAGACAGGGGCGGGGAGCCGTCTGCAGTGATGGCAGCCTGATACCCATGGTGGCAACGGGGATCATTTTTAGATTTTCATCTTTTTATATTTTCACTGCTTGAATTATTTATCTATGCATTATTACCCTATTTATAAAAACAATAAAATGACTTTTCTAAAATTAAAAAATGCAAATACTCTAAGATGCTAACAGTGTTGATTTTGGACAATGGAAATAAGTGTGATTGCTGCTTTTTTCTTTTAATTTTTCTGAATTTTTACACTTCCAAAAATTAAGACAATAAGAAAAGCCCATTTATTCAAAAGAGCTATAAAGAGTTCTTCCCTCTTTCCCCTGCAACTCTGCCTCAGAAGATGCAAGAACTCATCTCTGTTGCACATGACGAAGACAGTCTCTCCACTGAAATGCAACCCTGGGAAAAAGCCCTCAGAGTTGCATGAATTAAATTCTCCATTCAAAGAAACAGGTAAAAATGGATTAATTTGTTAAATTCCATTCTGGTTTTAATGGTGCATGAAAATACAAACACAAAGAGGACTGATGTATAAAATTCTTGCTAAAAGGCAGCAAAAAATAAAGAAGAAAAATTTTGCCACCAATCTCCCAAGAGTTGGTGAGAGCATCTTCAAATTAGAATCTCAAAAAGCCACTGATTAAATGTGCCAAACATCCCAGCCTCATCCTTCTGATCAGCGGAATGAATCTTCGCACCAGGCTGGCAGAGCTCTGTGAACTAGGCCGACCCAGCTGCCATGGTCAGCACTCAGTCTACTCCTCCACCTTGCATTTGGGCCACTGGAACTTTGGCAGATACGACGCCCACAAGGAGAGGCTTCCATGGCGGGGCGTGGTCTTTGCTGCTCCACAGGCCCGCTGGAGGCCAGGTAACCACGTAGAGGAAGTCTCAGTCATCCCAGACCTCTAGGCATCATCTCGGCAAGGCCAAGAGAGACCATCCACCCCCACAGAGCCAGCCCAGGCCAGAACCATCCAGCCCCCCAGGGGATTGTGAGCTGCAGTACATGCTGGCGTCCTGAGTCACCAAGCTTGGGGGTGTCCTGACCAATACTCCCTCCTTGACCAGACTTCAGCAAGGCTCCTCTGAGCCCTCTCCTCCACTAGACCTCGTCCTCAGCCCCATCAGGTTCCTCGTCCTTTGCCCTTGGTCCCCAACTCCTTGGCCTGTGTCAGCCCAGCATGGCAGAGCCCCAGGCCTTGTTCTTGGACCTACTGCTACAGAGCAGACCAAGTTCCACGCTTAGACGTGGTCCGAGTCTGCTGGTGTGCTCAGTCTCTTAGGACCACACTTGGAATAGCGGAGCCTGGGTCTGTCTCATTCAAGCCGCTAAGCAACTCAGGGTGGGACCTGGACTCACCATGGTCCCTGCAAGTGTTGCCTTGCTTGATATGTCTTTATGGACACTCCAAAGGTCTGAAATGTCCTCCTCATCCTTTAAGGCAGATTGGTTACTCCTGTGTCTATCAAGAAGAAAATCTAAACAAAAAAGAAAATCTAAACAAAAATAACCTTTCAGGTCCTCACATCAGCAACAAAAAATCAAAGAGCCAAAGATCCCTGGCTGGCCAGTGTCTTTAGGGTCCTTACCAGGTATCAGGGGCACTGATAGTCTCATGTCCGAGGACCACTTCCTTGTCCCCTGGACCAGTGGGCTGCGGTGTGAGTGTTAACAGGCTCCATAAGGAAGAAAGTGGTTTTTTTGTTAATAGTGTTTTTAGTTCCCTCATGTTTCAAATGAGTTTTCAGTGTTCACCTTGTGGCTAGGGCTGGCTGCTCTAAGTGACCTTGGTAGTCAGTTTTATTTCAGCCCTAGAAGCTTAGTAAATGCAGTTTTAAAGTAGGCAGAAAATAGAGATCTCTCAGTAAGAATTGATAAACAAAACTTTGCAGTTTTGTTGTACTAATGCATTCTTGATAGTTTCTCTCCCCGAAATGGCAAACCTCCTTGCAACCAGGAGAGAACTAGAGTTTTACACCACCTATTTGTCCAAAGAAGGCAAGATAAGCGATACCCCACCATAGATTATGCCCAAGGACCCACTGAGCCTACGCACAAGACTGAAAGAATAACCAATGCTAACCCCTAGCTCATTATAATACTAAAGTCCCCACCCTGGGAGGGACATATGCCCCATTGTTTTATCATGGGATGTATGTACTAGCATGCTTTCTGATTGTGCTTGTGTGCCCTGCACTCCACCCCAAACACACAATGATGCTCACACTCCTCATGCATTATTCATTTTGCCTCCAGCCAAACCGCCTGAACCTGTTGATCTGGGAGGTGGATTGAGTCAATCCATACCTCCTCCTCCCAGTAGACACATCTCCTGCAATAAATCCTTTTCTCCTTGACAATCCTCGTTTTCTCAGCAATGGGCTTTCTGTGCAGCAGGCAGCATTGAACCCCCCTCAGGTTCATTCATTAACATGAAGACTGTCCACCTGGGACCCCACCCTCTGCCCAGTCTGGACCGGCTGCCCCACTCTGAGCCCTGGGCGTGGGGATTTGCCCAGGGATGGGATGAGCCGACCAGAGTGACTCCTTGGGGTTTCTCCCTGGTGCTGACGGAAGAGACTCCAGGAGCTCTGGGAATATGCGCTGGGAGGAGGATGACAGGAGACGCAGCCACGTTCTCCACCTGCTGAGAAAGTCCAACTGCCAGGGAGAGATTGGGGCTGACGCTGAGAGAGAAGAGGGGAGAAGGGAGGCTGGACCCTGGGGCCTCCAGTCCCCTGTTCTTCATGGTCCTGGAACTGCCCAGACTTGGGGAGAGAAGGCAGGAGACCTGTGGCCACAACCTCCCCCCCCCCCCAGGGCAAGACACAGCTCACTTCCTGGACATGATGTCACAGTTGCCTGGACACGACCACACCCCCAGGGCAGGACACAGCTCACTTCCTGGTCATGATGTCACAGGTCCCTGACATTCCACAGTATCCTGGAGACTGAAGCTGGGCAGCCTGAAGACCTTCAGAGGAGGCCTCTCCTTCAGCCGGAGGGAACATGGCAGCGAACCGAAGCGCGGGGACCCTCTGCTTTGTCCTCCTGCTGTGCTGCTGGCACGAAGCAGAGCTCCAGCCGGTCAACATGACTTCAGGTAGAGGCCAAAGTAGATTGTTGGGCAGATGGAAAACGCAGGCCTGGGTCACGCAGGCGGGTGACAGCCTCCTTCTGCCAGGGACCCCCTCTTCCCCATTTATCACAATTTACTGTGTATTCGTTTGGGAATGGAGAAGCTGAAAAGTTTTTCTATCTTGGAAGCCATTTTAAAACCTACAACTCCACAGGAGAGTCACATACTTACTTATTTTAATTTTTTATTATAGACATTTTGTAACTTACTCTAAAGTAAAGAAAAAATATCGGGCCCTTCCGTGTGTTCATCCCCAGCTTCAGTTATTGTGCACATTTTGCCAGCTTGTTCTTACACACACAAACACACACATACACACACACACACTTGTCATCTCAGGAACATTTTAGCACTGTCCCAGATGTCTTATTATTTCTTGTTTAATGTTTTCTTGTAACAAAAGCATTGTTTTTGTACATCTCAGACAGCATTATCACACTAACAAAATTAGCAAAATTCCTCACAGCAGCTAATGCCAGTTAAAGACAAAATGGCGGTGACCTTGATGAGGCGCCAAGGCAGAGCTCATTCAAAGGGGGCTACTGTGGTGGAGCTTCGCGGTAGGAGGAGCCACTCAACTCTTCCTACGAGGACCAGGAATTTGAGCAGGTGTCAGGGGGGCAGGCCAGGCTGGGGGCTTTTGCTAAGCCGACTCAGCAGTGTTCTCACTGCAGCTGGAGAAAGCGGCCACGACAGAGCCCGAGGCCAGCACCTAGTCGGAGAAGGCTCAGAGGAGCCAGCCAGAGTCAGGCCAAGGACAGTCTGTCTGTCCTCCCTCTTGCTAAAGGACAGAAGACATGTTCTTTTTTCCTTTGAATGCTAGAAGTCCATGTCTCCATTGGTGGGGATATTTGCTGGACGGTGCGAGCAGTCAGGGATTTAATGAGGGGAATTTCTATGAAAAGAAAAACAAAGATTTATAGATGGAAACCCAGGTCCTGAATCCAGTGGCAGGCAGCTGAGAAGATCTCTAGACGTTGGGCCCAAAGCGCCTTCAGAGGGCGTGAGGAGGAGGAGCGGTTTGCAGCTGGTGCCGGAGACGCCCGCGGAGCACGGGAGTGCCCGCACAGCTCAAGGGCTTCCGCAGACAGGCCGGCGGATCCAAGTCGCCAGTTTCTAGCTCCAGTGACGCCAAGTCAGGAGGGTAGGAGGGAAATTGGAGCCATCAGTGTGGGGACTTGTAGCCAGACATGGGAGGAAACTAGACGACTTGAGGATCTAGCCCAGTTTACAGGTAGATAACAAAGTAGAAAGTAAAGTGGAGTTTAACAAAATGTTAAAAATAAACAGAATAAATAGGATTATAACTCATAAGTATGCACTATAGTTTTCCATTAAAACACAAAATTTTGCTCTATCACCCCCTTTTTGATCAAAGATAACCATAGTAATATTATGCTTATCTGGAAAAATAAATCTTTTTTGTACAAAAAGGATTTATAAAAGTGTAGCAAGAATGGCAACTGACCATTGAGTTTGCTTTGCTGTAAGTTTTTTATAAGGAACCCCATATTAGACTTTTAAAAGCCTTTGAAGGCTAGAAAGCCCAGCCAGGCACTGGCCAGCAGGTTCCTCTTGTGGTTCCTAAAGATTTGGGCTAATTCCTGTTTCCTGAAGGTTCTTGAGGTATGCCAAGTTTCCCGGACCTCCCAAAGTGACCTTTACTCACCTATAGGACTGCAAACCCCATAAGCCAGGCTCCAGGACAGTTTTTCCAAGCAGGCGTTGTGTGCATTGGCTGCCAAGCCAACCTTACTTTATAAACTTTCTGGTCATATCTGATTTTATGTATCATTCTCGAATACACACTCCAGCAGCCAAAGCCTTGGTCACATTACCGATGTTTCCAATTATGTCCATTACAAGGAGAATGGATTCTTACTTAACTTATGCAGACAATCATATGGCCATGAAAATCATAATATCCAAACTCTGGAGAAATCAGGTGAGAAGAAAAATGTAAACATTTCATTTTTGTTTATGAAAGTATAATTACAAAATTCCTGTAAGTTATTGATAGTGTAAGGAAAAAAGAGAAGAAAAGAGTTCTTTGAATCTGGAAAACAAAACATTAAAGAACCAATGATGTTCCAAACAAAAACTCACAAAAATTATAACCATCCTCTCACTCCTGTTCTTCTTGACCTGGGGTGGCAGTGCCATAACCTGCCGGTTTCTTGCTGGCAGCTGTGGAAGTTTTTCCTCAGTTGAGTGGTGTGATCTCAGCACGATCAGAAACTGTGTTCCAAGGCATTTATCACAAGCTCATCCAGGAGTCTCCTTGAACATGAAGTTGTGGACTGGAGCTGATTGCAAACACTTTCAAGAAAGCATCAGAGTAAAACAGTGATTGTCTGGGAAGGACAAAGACAAAGTGGCTGTAGTTAAAGATCTGATGAGAGTCCATTATAAAGGCAATTGATGGGGAAATTTAGTTATTTCTGTGATATACAACATTTCAAAATAATAACTGAAATTATGACCGATAATTTTGTACTGGGACAATCATTGACAGTAAAGACCTTGACAAATTTCTAGAAATGTCGTACAATTTCTGAAGCATATATAACATATATCCATATTAATGTGATATAAAGAAGGTTAAGCATCACTTCCTATTTGGCAATGTTTCTTATATAATGCTAAATATCAAATAAAGCTGGTTAGCTTAACATTTTTGTCTTTTTGCAAGGTGAGAGAAAAAATTCTTTGATATTTTCCAGGGCCCTCTGGGAAATCTCAAAATTAGTTTGAGATCAGAAAGATTTCATTTAGAATTTGGTTTGGGGAAGTTGTCAAAAAATGTCTGAAGGTTTGAATACTTAACTAAATAGAATCACAAGCTACTATGAAACAATATTTAATTATCCATTTGCTGTGAATGACAATAAAAGATTTTAAAAGCAAACATAGAAAGTAACATAGTTGTTAAAAAAAAAACCTTAGTTCTTTCAATATTGAGAAGACTCAGTTTTCTTAAGTAATCAAAAACATGAGGAAGAAAACATGAAACAGGAAATTATTTTGATAAGACACAGAATCGTTGTTTCTTGGGAAAATTACTCAACAGATAAAGAAAAACTTCTTACAAATCCCTTATTGAGAACAAACCAATAATCCAAGAAAAGTTTGTCCTTTTAGCAGAGAGAGAAAATCAAACTCCAGCCCTGAGTTGGTGAACTATTAATATTAAAGCTCATTTGAAAACTTTATAATAAAATCCATTTACTCTTAGCCTAGCTTGACCATGAGAGAAGATTTTTTTTCTTTCCCCTCTTTTTTTCCTCACAGGTCCTCTACATCTTTAGGTTTTGTGTCCTTTATCTTTTGTTTTGCATTAAACAAGCTATCTTAGGACAAAATTACTTTGTTTTTCCTTAGGAAAAAACACACCCTTCATACCTCCTACCTTGCCTCATCCTTATCAAGAACATACCCTACTTTCCTCGAATACTTTGCACACAAACTTGTTTCCCTTCACCTTGTTATTTCTAATAATTTTAATCACATATGTCAATCACAGTTGCAGAGAATGCTAGGAAGTAGACAGTTGTGATAATGTGTCACATGCCAGCATTCTGTAGCAGATTAGCAAATTTCATGAAGATACCATCTTACAATTTTTAGAGACATGTTTTTCTACAGAGCAATTTTTCAACATAGCAAAAACATCTCTGTTAACAAACTCAAATATATTTGGTCTCTCTGTACCATGTGAAATAAGAAGCCAAAAGTTTATAAACTTAAACTTGTGGTTATATTGAATGTTCAATAGTTTATTTTATTTTAAAATTATCAATGAAACTCTATTACTTAAATGATCATAACTCTAAGGTTGTAAGTCGCCAAAAAGATTTTAGAAACTATTTTTCGGCTGGCATACTATAACACAAAATAAAGCTAACCATCATCTCAAGTTCCCTGTTAGCTGTGTTTAACCTGATTTGACTAGTGACCCAAGTAGAACAAAATTATGTCTATGCTGTATGTACAGCTGACAAGTCTGAAGACATAACAGTTTTTGCTTAACAAAAACATCTTCGATAGCTTTATTTACCAAAGATCATCCTAGATAATGTGAACTTGAAAAATGTTAGGGTTAGTTCTGTTTCTGGGAGTTCTAACTTATATATAAACACTTAACTTTTCTCTAAGCCAGTTTGAATAGAACTCTTCTAAGGAATTTTATAAATTAATTTGGTAATACCATTCAGAGGTAGAAAAATGTCACATATACATAACACATACATACACATATGAATGTAGACAGATACAGAGATCTTATAATTTCATTATAAAATTTTAGCCACGAATCAAGGAACACAGCAATAAAAAAATCATTAGTTTAGCTCCAATTTATATTATTATTTGAATTATGCTTCTGACAAAAATGAGATGAGTTGAGGCAACCTACTCAATAAGGGCTTTTCTTTTTTGACCAGTATTTGGGAAAGAGACTTTTACCATCTCCTTGTCTGCCTGGGCCACAGCGCCAGCAGGTGGCTGAGGAGACGCAGATGGCAGCCACCTATGTCTCCAAAGCGTCCCCTGAGTAGCCCAGACAGTCCATCTGCTGCCAATTAGCCTTTTTCCTTTCCAGCCTCAGGCAGTTGATTTTGGGGTTCCCAGAGTCCTGGGAGACTGTAGGGATTTGAGGGGCTGAGCAGGAAAGAAAGGTCTATCGGGAGCAGGGCAGGAGGCAGAGGGCTGGGCAGAGCGGGGACCCGAGGTGGCAACAATGGGCAGGGGAGGCTGGGAGGAGCCTATTTGGGGGTCTCGGCCACTGACGCTCCGGATCATCTCATGAGGCGCGGGGAGAGCAGTGGGGTGGGCTGGGGTCTGGGTGGACAAGCGGACCAGGAATCTGACCAGATGTCCACTTGGATTGGGGGGGGGTTCCACTAGGCTGACTCCATGGGATTCTTGCTAAAACTGGAGACAGCGGCCAAGACAGGGCCCAGGGGCAGGCGAAGAGCTGGTCAGAGTCACAGAGATGCTCAGGGGAGCATCTCAGGGGACCCAGGGCAGGGCAAGTCTTTGACAGACCCAGGCTACATTAGACGTCCCCCTGGTCTCAGGAAGTCTTTCTGCAGTTGGTTGGTTCAACTCAGGACCTAAGCAGAGCCCAAGTGCCCTTGGCACCTGTACCTTTTGTTCTGACCATTGGTTGAGGGACAGGGATGGTGGCACAGCTCCTAGAGAGGGCAGAAGACACACAGAGCAGGTGGGCTCCCTGGCCCTGGCCCCCTGGGAGGCAGCCGCTCAGCCACCTGTCTCCCACCTGCCCCCCATAATGGAGACTAGAGCTCAAGAAGAGTGGCCTGACTAGGGTGCCCCTGCCCCAGCTCCCCAGGTCCTCACCGTCACCTACAGGGCTCAGGCTTCTCCTGAGAGCAGCACAGAGGAGCTGGCCCAGGGCTGGGACCTACTCTTTCTCTTCCGCCTGAGACAATCCCCAGTGTCAAGCTGGGAAGGACGGTCCCGCGGGGCCTCGAGCCTGTGGGGAGGGCGGCAGTCACCAGGCCCCGGAAATGTGATGAAAGAAGCCAATGTTTCTGCAGAAACTTCATTCTGAGGTGTTCTGAAGGGAGCGTTCCCTGAAGGTGCTGGGGCTAGAGAGTTGGGGACAGGCTAGGACCTCCATCTTCACCTGGTGCCACCACCTCCGGCCTGCTTGCTTCTGCTCACAGCTGTCCCCTCACAGCCCTCACCCGTGCATGGGAACTGCCACATGCCCTGGTCAGGAGGACAACCAGCCACCCCCCCCCCAGGAGCTGACCTTGCCCGGACAGATAGAACCTTAGGTGACTCTCAAGGCCTGCCCTGCCTGGAAGAGCAACTAAAGGACAGTTCCTACATCATGTTCTTAAGGGACATGGGGGTCTCTTGCTCTACTCAGTGTCTCCTGTCTCAGTGGGCACTTTTGCCACTGGCCACGAGAGTTGCCTTGACCACGTGACATGACTTTCTTTCACGTGGAGGTGTTGACCCCAGGGGAGAAAGGATTGTGGTCCACATGGTCCTCATGATGGAGGAGGTCACAGCCTTGTTGCCCCAAATTAACTGGAACAAGATCTCAGAGCTCAACAGGGAGCCCTTCGTGGAGGCCGGTGTGTGCGTGATGCAAGCATGGAGACAGAGCAAAGGGCCATCTCAACCTGGGGGCCCGAGCCACCTTAAAGCTCAGAGACCACCCGTAAGGGGGGGCACAGGAGAGCCGGCACAGCGGCACACTTGACAATGCGCTTTAAAGACCACGCGGGTGCTACAAAACCTAAATACTTCACTGCACATGCTTGCTGGCTGACTTGCACAATACTTCCATTATAATTATGGGACCGACACAAAATGAAAAGAATATTTTTAACAAAGTGCTTGCACGACGCAGCTGTACCCATTCCTAATGATCATTAATGTCTCCTCCGAGGAGAGGAGAACTGTACTTTTTGTTTGTTTCATTTTCCGAAGGTCAGCACAGTGGAAGCAATTGTCATCACCATCACAGACCTTTTTACATATTTTTCCGGCATTGTTCTAAGTGGCGTGTGCGCAGATGAGTCCATTGGTATGCAGATTGTCCATCATTAAAACCATTTGGAAATCAGCTTTGTCATTGGTTTAGTGCAGGAACTTCAGATTCCTGCAGACACCACCCGAAAGCTCTGTGCAGCTCAGAAGGGGAAGGTGCGGTGGCCCCAGAGCCTCGACCTGGGGCCGGAGGAAGAGGCTGACCTCGACCGTGACCAGAGCAAAGACCTGTGCCGGGACACTGAGAAGCCACACCTTAATGAGGAAAAGCGTGAACGGCAGAAGGGAGGAACCAGTGGTGGATGCCACCGAGGAGAAAGCAGTGCTCAGAATTGAGGAGTGTCCGGTCACTCCGTGCGGTGACACCACAGGTCAGAAGCCCACGGATCCTGGGGATGCCTGGCATTTGGACTGTCAGTTCACCCCACAGACTCCGCCTCTTATCTGCAAGTGGGACCACCTGGAATTGCTTCGCTTACCAAAGAGGAGAAATAGGGTGGCCGGTCTCTCTGAGTCCTCCAGCCTCCCAGAACAGAACCATGAAGTGAGACAGCACCTCACGCTCTTTCTCCATTTCTCCAAACCGTATTTCCTAACTTTTAGATGCGTTCATTGTAGGAACTGTTTATAAAGGAGGTAAATGTGTTGTTTTTACAAAAGGGAGTGTGTGTCCCTCTGCCTTTGCTCACTGTAAATAGTCAAATGAGCCTAGTCACCCTTAGAGCTTTGATTCCTTGGATGATTCTGGACTAGAAGCTCAGGGCACCTGAGCAGATCATCCTACACCCTCAGCCAGCCTGCAGGTGCCTCTGCCCCATGTTGCAGATGAGAAACCCAAGTCCCAGAGGACTGCCCTGTGGCCACCCCACGGGAGACACTGCTGGTGATGGAAAAAACAAATTCTACCAAAATCTTTTAAAAGGTTTAGTCTCAGCCAGTGTGAGTGATTGCGGCCCTGTGGAACACGGTCTCAAGAGGTCCTGAGAAAGTGCACCCCAGGCGGCCAGGTTACAGTTTGATTTTATATGTTCATGGAGACAGGAATAGCAGGTAAAACCATGGGTTTGGCCTGAAAAGGCAGAACACCTTGCAGCGGGGGCTTGTGAGTCATAGGTGGGTTTCAGGGATTCTTTGGTGGGCGATGGGGTGAAGGAGTCGTGCTTTCTCTAAAGACCTGGAGCCAGTAGAGAGGAAGGCTTGAGTTAAGACGGGGTCTGATGTCTCTCGTGTGACGCTGAATCAAAGTCAGGTTGGAAAGTAGCCACACTGTGCTGGGTTAATAAAAGCCCACTTAATGAGATTTTGTGGTTTGTGAGGCCTGACTCACCAGTCTCTTAGAAAGGAATCTGGACTTGAGACAAAAGGTCAAAGTTCAGTCCTCACTGGCAGGCATCCCGCATCGCCATACCCATGTAAAGAGAGAAGTAATGCAAATTCAACAAACGTTGTTAAACTGTAGGTGCTTATTTCCCCCTTAGGTCCAACTACTGAAATGTCACCGAGTTCGAAAAATCAGGATATTCCCTCAATATTCGGTAAGGAAACCGCTCAGGGCATGGTGTCGACTCGCCGATCTCTGTATGTGAGGGCGGGCTGCTGTCGGGCGTTTCCAGGTGACCCGCGCGTGGCCGCGGGGCGGGCCGACCGGGCTGGAGGCCAGACCGCGTTCCCGAGCCTCCGCCCAGCGCCCACACCGAGAGGCACGCCCCCAGGAAATTAGCAGCGACACAGAAGTATAGACCGTTAGACTTAAAAGGCTCCTGAGAGCTCCTCAGAGTGGGTGAGTCTGCCGTGTAGACTGCAGCGCCCACACCCGCGCGCCTGTTGGAGACGCCCCGCATGGCAGCGCCTGGTCAGCGGGTGCCGGCCGTCCCTGCGCCGCCCCAGCTCTCGCCCCTCAGCTGCACACGACGCCCTGGGGGTGTCGGAGCCGCAGGCGCGCTGCCCCAGCCCGCACCCAGACCCTGCGGCGCGGGGCTGGAGCGTCCGCAGCCCTCCGAGCTCCCGCCCTGGCCCCGCTGCGCAGAGGAGCCGGCCACGGTGGGCTTTTGCCTTTCCTAGCGGCCATGCTAAAGAGAAGCAGATGAAACTAATTTCAGTAACATACTTTATTTAATGTGGTTATTTCAGCATGTAATCAATATCAAATTGTTAATATTTTCAGTCTTCTTATCAATGAATCTTCAAAATCCGGGTGTGCTTTGCCTTTCCAGGACATTTTCATTTGAACCAGTCACATTCCGGCATGTGCCCCCGGAGCCAGGGCTACCCCAGGGACAGAGCCCGAGGCTCTGTCCAACCCTTTATTTTACATTTGGGGAAACTGAGGCCTAGAGAAGTCCTAGAAGCCGAGGGCTGGGACTCAGAGCATGGGTCCTGCCCAGCTCACATGGGTGCCCTGGGTGAAGTGGCCGCATGGCCCCTGGTGGGCTCCAGGCTGAGGAACCGCAGATGGGAGGTTTTCTCGTGGAATGCAGGTGCCTGCCACCTGCCTGCCTGGTTGACTGGCGGTTCTGAGTGGGAAGCAGGGACAACACTTAAGGGAAGCTGCCAGCTATTAACCGAGTCCGGGCCGCTGGGGCCGCTGGGGCTGTCGTTGCAGGGTCCCTGCGCCCTCCCTGGGTTGCTGAGAGAGGCGGTGCTCTGGCTTCCTGCAAGCCTGACTCGGCAGAGCGCCGCCTGGCTTCCCGACCAGCCGTGGCAGGCTGTGGTCAGGTCTGTTCTTTGGATGATCTGGTCATTAGCTATCTGTATTTGTCTCTTATCTCTCAAGAAACAAAATTTAACCCTAGGAAATTAGCCATAGTCTTAACTGCCTAAAGCAGGGTCCTCACACTTCTTAAACAGGGGGCCAGTTCACTGTCCCTCAGACCGTTGGAGGGCCAGACTATAGTTTTAAAAAAACTATGAATAAATTCCTATGCACACTGCACATATCTTATTTTGAAGTAAGGAAACAAACGGGCAAAAGCACCGAATGTGGCCCGCGGGCCATGGTTTGAGGACGCCTGGCCTAAAGGGTTTCCCTAGCGTGTCCGGGAGGCAGGCGGGTGCCCCCAGCAGCAGCTGTGAGCTCAGGCGCTCTTCTCTGGGGCATGTCCAGCCCAGCTGTGAGGGTGGCAGCAAGCGGGCCAGCTTCCTGCCTCGTGTTTGCCCCTTGCACAGTGCGAGCAGGAGCGTGTCTTGCGGCAGCTGGGCTGTCCCCCACCCATTCCAAGGACTTTTCAGGACCTCTGCAGCTCACAGAGTTTGGTGTCCCTGCGAGGCCACTCTCAGCGTCCTGTGTGGAGCAGATTGGTTCGCGCGAGCCAGGTCTGGGACCCCAAGCGAGGTTTGTTAGAGAGGGAGAGCTGCAGGCACGGCCCACCCCCCTGGACAAGAGTGACCCGGCAATGTCGTGGGAAACTGGGGGGGCTCAGCCCAGCAGTTCGGGCAGCGCCCAGGAGCACCCACTTGTTCGCACTGCTCAGCTGAGGGCCTGCCTCTGCCTGAGGGGTCCCGTCCGCCATTCAGGCGTGCCCTGTCACCCTGTCACCCTGCACGGTCGCGGCTGTGGAATCCCGCCTCTGTGCATGGCTGGCTGAGCGGACAGAGCCCAGGGACCCAGGCCGGGTCATCCTGACCCCCAGACCTGTGCAGCGTCTGGGACACAGTGGGTGCCCAATACATGCTCACTGTGCAAATGAATAGCCACTCTTCTCCAAGACCCACATCGACCCCGACACCCTGACTTTCAGGGCCCTAAAACACCGAAGCCGGGGGCTTCCGCGCCACTGGCCAGCGGGCTCTCAAGGTGGACGCCGGTGCCGCCGGGCAGGATGGAGGCAGGGGCGGCGCTTGGCCACGGGGGCTGTGCACCCAGTCACCAGCAGTCAGGAGGGAGGCGGCGCCTGGCTTTGGTCCATGTCCCCGAGGTCAGCCTGGCCACCCCTCAGGCTCCTGCCCGGTGGTCGTGGATGGCGTCCACAGCACAGACACCTCGCCCACTTCCAGGGCAGGAGGGGGGCGCAGTGAGACACCTTTTCTCTCTTTTTCTATTACAGTAGATCTGGGGCGCAGGTGCAGCTGTGTTGTGTGGCCGTGCTGCGGCGCAGTGAGGTCCGGGCTTGAGGTGCGCCCGTCACCTGAGCAGTGTGCACGGCGCCCATAGGTGGTTTTTCATCCAGCCCTCCCCTCCGAGTCCCCGGTGCCCGCTGTGCCGCTCTGTGCGGCTGCGGACACCCTGGACAATGCGCACGGCCCCTGAGACCCGGCGCTGCTTCACCATTTCTCTTCCATCAGGAGAAGCAAAATCCCGCAGGGCCGTGGGCTCCTGCGTACCTCTGCGCGTCCTGTGGCCACGCGGCTGCAGGGGGCTTGAAAGTGCGCCCAGGGAGCACGCCTTGCCCCCCGAATCCGGTTCTGCGGGCGAGGAGGGAGGAGTGGTGGCTGCTGGGTAGGGCACCAAGAGCCAGCGCGGAGGAAGCGTTTTCCTCACGTGTGTTGGTGACATCTCCGTTCCCAGTGGCATTTTTGATCTCCTCCCCTGTGCTCATCAGTCCTGCTTAAGCAGTGCCGGGGCGACCAGCGTCCACTTTGCTGGGGACCAAGGGGCTCTGCATGCAGGACTTCCTGAGCTAAAGCCTGGGTCCCAGGCAAACCAGGACAGGCTGGTGCCCTCGGGGCTCCAGGCTGCGCTGTCCAGCACTGCGGCCCGGTGGGGGTTGGTGGCACCTTCACGCTGCAGAGTTGGTGGCAGGTCTCCACGGCCATTTGTTTAGCTTCCTCCGTGTCCAGGCACCGTGTCGATTGCTTTCTGCACTGCACAGGCCCACGAGACAAATAGACAGCCCATTTTACAGACAGGAAGCTCAGGGTCACAGACGTGAAGGGACCTGTCCACGGTCAAGTTCTGGTGAGAGCAGAGCCTGGGTGTGGGCCAGGTCTGCCGGTCACAGTCCAGGACTCTGTGTCAAGAGCTTCCTCGGAGAGGTCGTAAGGACACCAAGGGAGAAAGTCAGGCCTTGTGTTGTGGAAATCAGGAGAGACGCTCATTCCTACGCGAGGACAGCGTGGGGAGAGTCTCAGAGATGGGACAGACGACCACCAGCAGGACGGAGGGTTACAGCCACGTCTGGGCCAGGGGTCCAGCGTCGGATCTCTGGGGGGCCGCGCTTGTGGTCCAGGGTGTGCGCACGGTCTCGGTTCTTCTAAACATGCTCGGGGAGACAGCAGCCTGCCCACCCCAGACAAGGTTCTCTAGAAGGTCAAGTCCCAAATCCACTGAGCTTCTTGAGTCCCCGTTTCTATTCACCGAGTTCGCAGACACCTTAGGTGCACGCTGAGAGAACGGTGTCAGCCCCGCACGGCTGACTCTAACGTGTTCTTGTTCTTTTCCCAAGATGAAATTCTAGTCCAGGAGATTTTGGAGCCAAATAAATCAACATTAGTTGAAACACCAAGTATGGAATCAGCATTAACAACAAGTGTACCCAAGGGGAAAAGTAAGTATATCCTTCTTTAACCCTGTAATTGCACGTATTACTGGAGAATTGAGTATCAGAAATCTCTAAGCAGTACATGAAAATGCATTTAGCAGCAGGAAGTTCAGCATTTTCTTGAGATTTTTGCATCCAGATGTAAATTTCAATTCCTAGGATTAGTTCACCCGACATCTGCCAAGGCCCGTACCGCTGGGTTCAAGGCATTCAGATGACGCCTGACTCTGTTTGCAGATTAACTTTCCAATGCACATTTTCAAAGAGAACTTAAAAACTGTATTAGCATGCCAACCCAACACTGTAAACTAAAATATGGGCCAAAAATGTTTGAAAGTGTGTAATCAAGAAAACTTTTATTCATTTTTTTTCCATGTTCTTCATTGAAGATGCTGGTACTGATGAAAATTATCAAGCTGGCAGTTCTGACAATTATCACGAATTATTAGAAAATTTACATCTCTCTTCTGGCAATGAGGACAAAGTTTCCAATAAGGGTAAATGCAGCCCGGCAATGACCCTGCCTGAGTTCAGGCGTAACGGGAGCGATAGGAGTGAGGAGGTGCAGCGGAAAGGTCTCCTTTGTGGAGGGCAAAATGCTTGGGTGGAGAACGTGGCTGCTTCACCAGAGTTAGGCAGTTTCCCAGGTCTCTGTCGGGCTGGGGAACCCCAACTCCCCCACCCCCTGCCTGTCGAGCCCCCTGGAAAACCGCAGCCCGGGGGGCACAGCCGAGGTGCTGCCTCACAGGTGGGCAGTCGCCCAGAGAGGACGGCGCTGCCTGGTCCCTTCCCCCAAACCTTCAGCCAAGTCACTTCTCCCCTGGAGGGGGGGGGCGGGGCAGGCAAAGGGAGCCAGAGTGTCCCCCCAGGGTCTCCCCCAGGAGTGAGGGAAAGCCTCCCTCCAACAGATGAGTTTGCTGGAACAACCAGTGTGCCAAAGCTCAGAGGTGAGAAGCTTGAACTCCATGGGGGTGAGACATGTTCTCTTAACCTAGAGATTAAAAACGAGAAAGGACACATGTGCATACGCAGGACATACATGAAGGACATCTGCGGTGCACCCTACATGCAGGACCAAAGCCTGATGGTGCGTCAGGTGCAGGGAGGGGATCTTATTAGATACAAAGTCCAGGCCCTCGAGCATCTCTGCAGGGGCCCAGGAATGTGCATTTCCATCCATCCCCCAAACAGTCCTTTCCAGGGAGCAGCCTCTGGTGTTTGGAAGGACTGAACTAGATATTTTCCCAGCTTAAACAAGAATATGATTCTACTTAAATCTAATATTTCTAATACCTCCAACGTTGTCTGACTCAATGACTGTGCAGACTGCCTGGTGGTTGGGGTAGTGGCCACCCTTCTCTGTGCATTAACAGGGATTCTGCTTTAAGAAAGAGCTGCTCCTTCTCCCCTATTTATTTATTTATTCAGTTATTTATCAATATCCACACAGGTTCATCCATATCTCCTATATTCTATGGGCTGTAAAACACTAGTGCCATTGTTGATTTGGGTGCCCTTGTCATTAGACTTGGCCTTGGGGCCCTCCCAGTGGCTCTACTGCCCTGGTGACAGCCCCTGTGAGCCCCGCCCGGCCTCCTGGCCCCAGCATACGCTGCAGGCCCCTCTTGCACTGCCCTGGCCCAGGCCCTGTGGCCAGCTTCTGGTACCGAAGAAGTGTTCTTAGGAAGCCAGAGCTGGTCAGGGGCTGTCACAGCGCTAGGCCGTCTCGCAGACAGAGCCAGGAGATGCACTAATGTGCACACAGTGAGTAGCCTGGTGCAGAAGTATTTCCATGTTCTGAAATGTGTCTCCAGGGTAAATGCTCAGAGCTGGGATGGCTGGCTCAAAAGATGAGTGAATGAGTTCAGATACAGTTTTCACAGTCAGATGAGGCCTGACTCTGTGTTTGCATATTGACTTTCCAGAGCACGTTTCAAATAAAACTTGAAAATGGTAGCATTTCAGCTTAACATTCTAAAATAAGTTACCAAATGTTTGTGAGTGTGTCATCAAGAAAATCCCCCTCCCCCCTTTTTCCACGTTTTTGTTACAGAAGCCAGTGCTGAGAATCTCCACATCACGAATTCTGAGAAAGACCAGGACTCACAATTGTCTTCTGGCCTCGAAAGGACAACCTCCAGCAAAGGTACCTGTCCTTGGTCACCCCTGCTCAGGGGAGACCTGGGAGAGAGCATGACCCAGGAGGAAGAGGGGGCGTCTCCCTGCAGCCTCCCCAGACGTGCTGTACTTTTAAATGTTCACCAGTCTTATGGGGAGGAGTGGTATTTCAGCGTTGCTTTTATTCACAATTCTCTAATTATTAGTGAGTTTGAACATCACATATGATGAAGGATCATTTTTATATCACTTCTGTAAATGTTGTGTTCATGCCCTTTTCTCATTTTCTGCTAGATTTTTGGTCTTTTATTCTCTACTTCTAAGAGTTCTTTATATTTAAAAAATACTAGAACTTTGAGATGTATGTATGCTGCAAATATTTTTTTTCGGGTTTGTCAGTTGAATTTTAACTATGTTTATAATTTTTGCATGCAAAAATTTCATATTTTGTGTAGTCACAATTATCAATCTAGTATACCCTTTAGCTTTTGAGCCATACCTAGAAAGTCTTTCCCTACACTTAGGCTAAAGAGGAATTTTCCATGTTTCCCTCTAGTATTTATAGAACTTCATCTGTTAGATCTATGATGCATTTGGAATTTATCTTTGGGTGTGGTGCGGGCATGTTCAGTGTTATCTTTTTACAAATGGCTACCCAGTTATCCAGGATAATTTATTGAAATGTCCATTTTTGCCCCCATGATATAGAAAGTCACATTTACCATATTTCACACTAAATTTCCATATGCACGAATATCTTTTGTGGGCTATGCATCATATTCCTCTGTCCTATTCATCTATTAAGGTGCCAAAGCACCAAACTGTTTTATTTAAAGTGTATTTTAACCTCTGGGATATATGTTAGTTCCCCCTTTTAATATTTTTTTCTGATGTTTTCCTGATTATTTTTGCATTTTTAAATAATGTGTTGAATTTCTTTTTCTTTAAGCTTGTTGGTATTTTTTATTGGGGTTGCATTATCTATAAATAGTTAATTTACTTTCATTATAAGTAAATAATTTAGGAAAACTGAAATCTTTATGATGTTGAGTTGTTGTAAGAAGAGGTGATATCTTTCCATTGTTCCTTCTTATTTTCTATCTTTCGGGAGTATTTAAAGATTTTTCCTTATATAGATGCTACACTGTCATGGTAAGTTTATTCATAAGTATTCAGTTTCCTTTGTGCTACTACAAATAAGATTTTTGTCTATCATTGTGTGCTTTGACTGGTTTTTACTTTTGTATACAGAGGCTATTGATTTCAGTAGGTTAATTTTTTCTGTTGCCTTATTGAATTCTTTTATTGTTTGATTTAGTTTTATTGTTAATTATCTAGGATTTTCCAGATCCACTATATTATCATCTATTAAGTGGAAATAGTTTTCTTCTTCTTTACCAATTTTTATGCCTCTCATTGATTTCTCTTGCCTAGTTGCATAGAGCAATACGTCTAGGATGATGTTTAATAGTAGCAGAGTTAGTGGGCACTCTTGCCTGGTCATGACCTTGGCAGGCACGCCTCTAGTGCACATGCAGTAAGAGTCCAGCGTTAGTATAGAGCTGTACATACGTTAGCTCGTAAAGAAAGTATCCATTAATTCTCTCATATTTTATGAAAGACTTTTCAATAATCTTTGGAGATAATCAAATTTATTAAGATCTATTAACATAATGATTGATATTAATGGTTTTCTAATACTAAACCATCCTTGCCTTTCTGAAATAAATCTCACTTGGTCATGCTGGTTATTCTCTTAAAATGGTATTGGATTCTACTTGCCAGTATTTTACTTAGTATTTTTGCATACAATGCACAAGTGACATTAGTCTGTATGGTATTTTTTTACTATCTTTATCATGTAAGAATATTTATGTTATATTCTTGCTTTATAAGAAAAAATTAGAACACTTTTTCATTCTCTTTTGGTCCTCTAGGAAAATTTATAAAGCACCAGAAACATCTGGTCTTTTAAGATTTATTGGAAATGTCCTATGAAACCTTCTTATCGTGGTGCTTTTTTCTGGGGATAATTCCTTATAACTTTTTTTATTCCATCTAGCAAAAGTGATTCATTTAGGTTTCTTAATCAAGTGGGGTCAATTGTGGCCATTGATATTTCACTAGAAAATTATCCATTTCATCTGGGTTTTCAAATGTATTTGCATAGAAGTCTTTAAAATCATCCCATAATTTTTAAAATTTCATTTGTTTTCATTGCTATTTTCCCTTAGTAATTTCTTATCTTATAAATTTATGCTGAATCTTTCTTCTTGATCAAGAAAGCTAGTGGTTTGTTTAGCTTTTTAATCTTTCTGCATTCCAGAGTTTGAAATATTAATTAGCCCCTTACATTCCGTCCTTCACCACATTCATTTCTGACTTAGCCCCCAATGTCTCCCTCTTTATGCTCTTTTACAGTTCACTTTGCTGCTCTGTTTCTAATGCTTAGGCCTGAGTAAATCTTTACTTTTTCATTTTACCAGCAAGTGCTTAGTGCTGTGCATCTTGAAATGTCCGCAAATTCTCACGTATAGTGTTTTATTATCATTATGTCCCAGAAATTCTATCATTTTAGTTTGTACATTCCTTTTTTGCCCTGAGTTTCCTCTTTTTATTGAGGTATTTATTTATTTATTTGTTTTTTATTTTTTTATTTCAGAATATTGTAGGGGGTACAAACATTTCGGTCACATAAATTGCCTTTGCACCACCTAAGTCAGAGCTACAAGCGTGCCCAACCCCCAGACATCACACACTGCACCCATTAGGTGTGAATTTACCCATTCCCTCCTCCCCAATCCCACCTGCCCAATCCCCAATGAATGTTTCCCATAATGTGCACATAAGTGTCTTTATAAAACATTTTGTTTTCTTTTGGGTAAATACCCAGTAGGGGGATCAAATGGTAGTTCTACTTTTAGTTCTTTGAGGTATCTCCACATTACTTTCCACAGAGGTTGAACTAGTTTGCAGTCCCACCAGCAGTGTAGGAGGGTTCCTCTCTCTCCACATCCACACCAGCATTTGTTGTTTGGGGACTTTTTAATAAACGCCATTCTTACTGGAGATAAGTGATATCTCATTTTGGTTTTGACTTGCATTTCCCTGATGATTAGAGATGGTGAGCATTTTTTCATGTGTTTGTTGGCCTATCTTCTTGTGAAAAGTTTCTGTTCATGTCCTTTGCCCACTTTGTAATGGGGTTGATTTTTTTCTTGCTGATTTTCCTGAGTTCTAGATAGATTCTTTTTTTTTTTTGAGACAGAGACTCGCTGTGTTGCCCAGGCTAGAGTGAGTGCCGTGGCATCAGCCTAGCTCACAGCAACCTCAAACTCCTGGGCTAAAGCGATCCTCCTGCCTCAGCCTCCCGAGTAGCTGGGACTACAGGCATGCGCCACCATGCCCGGCTAATTTTTTCTATATATATTAGTTGGCCAATTAATTTCTATTTATAGTAGAAATGGGGTCTTGCTCTTGCTCGGGCTGGTTTGGAACTCCTGACCTTGAGTGATCCACCCACCTCGGCCTCCCAGAGAGCTAGGATTACAGGCGTGAGCCACCACGCCAGGCCCTAGATAGATTCTTGTTATCAGCCCTTTATTGGATGTATAGCATGCGAATATTTTCTCACCCAAAGTCTCCTAATAAAATGTTTTCTAATGTCCATGTGGCAGGGAATTTTGTCTTTGTTTTTGTTAATAACTTATAGTTTTACTATACTGTGATCAGAAAGTGTTATTTGTAATAGTTCTACTTCATGAAATTCACTCATGGTTGCCTAGTATGTCATCAATTTTTGTGAATGTTTCATGAGCACTGGAGAAGAAGGTGTTCTCTAATATCAAGGTGTAAAGGGAGTTTGGTGTATGTTAATAATGTCTACCTTATTGATTATGTTATTTAGGTGTCCTTTCTGTTTACTTCTTTATCCACTTGATCTCTTTTATTAAGAACAATATATAAAATTGTCCTGTTATAAATGTTTTTCTGAATATGTCTCCTTGAATTTTCTGTAGTTTTCCTTCATAAATGTGATTCCTGTGTTATTTGGTGCATAGATTTCATGAGTATTATATCTTCATTGTGAATTCTAACTTTTAGTATTAAAAAGAGCCTTTCTTTGTCATGTTCCATGCTTTAGGGATTGGATTTTACTTTCTTCAACATAAAAATCACTACTTCTCTGATTTCACAGTAAACAATAAGAAATATTTTTGTCCATTTATTTAGTTGTTTAGCTTACCCTTTAAAATTTTAGTTTGATTCATTTGCTTTTATTCTTTAATTTACAAGATTGTGCTAAAATACACATTAACAAAATATACTGTGACACCACCTTTAACTGTACAGTTCCATGGTATTAAACACATTTATGTTGTACAACCATCACCACTACCCATCTCCAGAATTCTTCTTATCACCCCAAACTGAAACTCTATGCCCATTAAATAATAACTTCCCTTTCTGCCATCCCTATAGTCCCTGGCAGCCCCCATTCTATTAACACTTTCTGTCTCTGAATTTACTATTCCAGGTGCCTCATATAAGTAAAATCATACAGTATTTATCCTTCTGTGACTGGCTTAAATGCCTTCAAGTCTTATCCCTGTCGTAGCATGTGGCAGAATTTCATTCCTTTTTAAGGCTGAGTAATTTGCAAACCATATCTGATAACAGATTAATATTCAAACTGTATAAAGAACTCCCCAAACTCAACAAGAAACCAAACAACCTGGTTTAAATATAGTTGAAGGACTTGAATAGAGATTTCTCCCAAGAAGAGATACAAATGGCTAATAAGCACATGAGAAGATAACTCAACATCAAAAATCACTAGGGAAATGCAAATCAAAACTACAAGGAGATACCACCTCACACCCACTAGGATGGCTACTATAAAATAATAGAAAGTACAAGTATTGGCAAGAATGAAGACAAATTGGAAGCCTTGTGCGTCGTCAGTGGGACTGTAAGATGGTACAGAGCTGTAGAGAACAGCATGACTGCAGAAGACAGTATGACTCT